AAGGCATTTCTTGTAATGTAGAGACAACACCCCAACAGGCTGCCGTGCTCCAGGGGACCGGTCAGCTCACTGACCTGTAGTAGTTCTGTGCAGGTTGCATTGCTGTCATTACGTATGCCCGAAGTTGGAGGTTCCTGCCACAAAAAAAAGGCAACTATGACTATACCTGCCCTACTACATCCCATACTTCCCCACTTCCTGAGAAGGGATGTCCTTGAACTGGAGAGAGTCCAGCGGAGGGCAAACAAACTAATTAGGGGAATGGAGGACCAGAGCTATGAGACAAGGCTTCTGACCTTAAACATGTTTACGCTGGAATTAAGGAGATTAAGGGGGATATGATATTCATGTACAAGATGCTCAATGGTGACAGCAACATTGGCAACAAACTGTTTGAGATTAACTCCTTTACAAAGACTAGAGGCCACCACCTAAAGTTGGTGGAGAAAAAATTCCAGCACAATGGGCGAAGAGGGTTCTTTACAGTAAGAGTGGTTAAGGTCTGGAACTCACTGCCATCGGCAGTGATTTCAGCCAAGAGTGTAGATTTGTTCAAGAAACGTTTGGACAATTTCTTGAGGGACCGTAATATCCAGGGATACCAGTATCCCTAAGAATGAGATGATGCATGGACCTATATGGGTTTGACTTGATGGACGTATGTCTTTTCAACCCCATATACTATGTAACTATGTAACTCCACTGATTGGCATTCTGTAATTTTTGTTGTTTCGAAGCTCATGATGTTGTCAACAGTGTGCAGAGGCTCCAGTAGGAAAGCATTGGAGTAAGGACAGGAAGCCACAGCAGCAAGCTCACAGCAGATTGTTTTCCTCTTACACGATAGGATGCAGTGACTCCACTGATGCTTGATTGATTATGGTAAATGCACTTTAACACGCACATAAAGCATTATAGATCAAGCATTTCTCCTTTGTTACAAATTTTCTCTGAATTCATAAAGGGTTCTCATCAGCATATTCAAAAGGAGCTGTGCAAGGGCAAACAAACTAATTAGGGGAATGGAGGACCAGAGCTATGAGACAAGGCTTCTGACCTTAAACATGTTTACGCTGGAATTAAGGAGATTAAGGGGGATATGATATTCATGTACAAGATGCTCAATGGTGACAGCAACATTGGCAACAAACTGTTTGAGATTAACTCCTTTACAAAGACTAGAGGCCACCACCTAAAGTTGGTGGAGAAAAAATTCCAGCACAATGGGCGAAGAGGGTTCTTTACAGTAAGAGTGGTTAAGGTCTGGAACTCACTGCCATCGGCAGTGATTTCAGCCAAGAGTGTAGATTTGTTCAAGAAACGTTTGGACAATTTCTTGAGGGACCGTAATATCCAGGGATACCAGTATCCCTAAGAATGAGATGATGCATGGACCTATATGGGTTTGACTTGATGGACGTATGTCTTTTCAACCCCATATACTATGTAACTATGTAACTCCACTGATTGGCATTCTGTAATTTTTGTTGTTTCGAAGCTCATGATGTTGTCAACAGTGTGCAGAGGCTCCAGTAGGAAAGCATTGGAGTAAGGACAGGAAGCCACAGCAGCAAGCTCACAGCAGATTGTTTTCCTCTTACACGATAGGATGCAGTGACTCCACTGATGCTTGATTGATTATGGTAAATGCACTTTAACACGCACATAAAGCATTATAGATCAAGCATTTCTCCTTTGTTACAAATTTTCTCTGAATTCATAAAGGGTTCTCATCAGCATATTCAAAAGGAGCTGTGCTTTTGAAATTACTGCTCATGGGGTTCAGGTTTAATGAAATCCCATAATAGATGAAATATGAAGGCTGCAATTGTTGATCTATCCTTCTGAAAATGTTAGTTGTATTGTGGTCATGCTGACCCTCCTGCTTCAGTTCTCTGGGCTGCTGTCATAAAATAAGTATGCACATAAGGAGGACTTCTGATTTTTCTTTTCATTTCATGAATTGCAAACTAGGTTTAAGGTCAATGACTCAAAGTAATAAAGCCAGAGGGTCAACATGACAGCAAGGGAACTAGCATTTTTACAAGGAGGTCAGTAAAGGCTACCTCCGTAGTTCCTTCATTACAGGTTTACTTGAAAAAATAAATCTCTGGTACCTATGGGACTGATTCATGAAAACTGAAACCAAGAAATCTATGAAATCCCTGTAACTGCATTCTGTATAATAAATCTTTTACACGGTGTGGCAGTGCAAAGCAATGCCATGGTGTAGTTTGACAACTATGGCACCCAGAACTCTCAGTCAGAGGGGCTGAGAGGGTCCAGAGTGTAAACTATGGTTTAAGGAAGAACCTGGCTTTTCAGATTCTTCCAGGTTTTCATAATTGTGGCTGGGATCTGGACCTCTGGAGATTTCTTAGAGCTCTGGGTATGATAAAATCTCCAGTCCTGGGCCCAAGTGTTGCCAATGACCAGCCTGGGCTGATCAGGTGGCTGAGAGAAGCCTCATCAAGAAGCCAGCATAGAGGAGAGTTGTGGGTGTGCAGGGGGAACATGGCCGCAGGCAGACTCTGCTGTGTGAGTGAGCACAAGTGGCACAGCCAGGAAGGCTGGAGAGGTCAAGAGGGTTGGGGACCCGAAGATACCTGCTAGAGAGACTGAGAGGGACAGTGACCCATGAGGGGTGAATACTGAACCGCTTGGAGCTGAGGAAAACTGCTGAGCAATGCTGAGGACTGTATTGACAGAGAAATACGGTAAAGTCCCAAATGCCCAATGTATCAGGGTGGGTGCAGCAGCGACAACGGATGCCCCAGTCAAAACGTACTAAAAAATAATAAAGTCACCGGCACGCCAAATAGTCAAGTCAATACATTTATTGACCCAAGTGATAACACCTCTAGCAACGTTTCGGGACCATGCGGCCCCTTCCTCAGGCAAACAGAGAGTCTCTGTTTGCCTGAGGAAGGGGCCGCATGGTCCCGAAACGTTGCTAGAGGTGTTATCACTTGGGTCAATACATTTATTGACTTGATTATTTGGATTTGCCGGTGACTTGATTATTTTTTTGAATGAATAAAGACTGTCCTTTTATGTTAAAGTCGGCTTAAGGAGTAGTCACTTAGCGCTCACCATTCTGCTATATTCCCCAAAATATCACACACGGGTTATAGATGTTTGAAACATGGTGCTAGGAACTATTTCTTTCCTAGTGTTTCAGAGGACTTTGAAGATAGGTTCAAGCATTAGTGATGCGCTGACCACAAGACAAATAAATACATACATAATACATATTACAAATCCATAAGCACATAATGGGAGCCAGCAACAGATCAAATAGGGGTACAGAATCATGGGGCCTCCTGCAGAGTAATTAAGTCAGGTTAGAAAAACATGGTAACCGCATGAATCTATAACCAGCCTTTATAGCAGGGAGCACATGGGAAGGCTTACAACAATACGAAAAACAGAAAATCCCCAGCACACCTGCCAGCTATCCTGCAACAAAACAAAGTACCCTGTCAACAGTATGCGTTAAAAACAGAGGTTTTAGTTGCACAAACTAAAATTTACCGACTGCATTAATATGTTCACACTTGAAGACTCATATAGATAGAGTTAGGACCACACTTTGCAGAGGTGCCTTGGTGCGGCAGTGTGGCTTCTACATATTTTTGGCCAAAAGTTTGTGCAACTAAAACCTCTGTTTTTAACGCATACTGTTGACAGGGTAATTTGATTTGTTGCAGGTGTGCTGGGGATTTTCTGTGTTTTGTATAACTGAGTCAGGTGTCTACTTGACACGGTTCAACCTCGACAGGACTCATGTAGCATGTTTTGTTGGATATAACAACACAAGCACACCATGAGAGTCTTATGTAATTCTTTATATTTTGTATATTACAAAGATTGTGTGTAATGTCTGTGCATCAGGGAGCTGTGTATGTCATTCCCCAAGATGCTCAGTACACCTGTGTTCGAGGACAGATTTGGATGTCCCCATGTTTGATATGATTGGACGATTTGAGAAAAACATATCCAAGCGTTTTCCACTGGAAAGAATGTTTTTATTGTTCTGTGGTTGATGTAGAGTCCATCACCTTAGGTAAAGTTTCCTTTTGTGTGGCTTGCTGAAGTTTACTTAGAGGAATTGAACTCTGAAAGCTGTGCCCAGAAAAAGGCAAGCAGAGGACAAAAGATTAGTTACTTGTGGTCTTGCAGCTGATCTTTTCCTATTACTAAGTGACAATGCCTTATTCTGCACTGTGACTGTGGGAGGAAGTGGCCATCTTGGTAGAGGTAGGGCTTTGCTTCCCTATGTCAAAGGCTCCGGCAAAGTGAACAATGAACAACACAGTAGTAACATCACCAAATCCTATTTCAAATCTCCTGATACTAGAAGTCAGAGGCAGCAATGGCTTTGATCTCACACTAGCTAGTTAGCCAAGAGTTCTCGTCACTTTCTATCTGGTAAAACACTGACAGCAGGACAAAATGTGAGGGGAGATCTCTCAAACAGCCCCCAGATGGCAGTACAAACTAACAGGGATTCTAATCCTTCCCCACTCCATCCAACTTAGTGTTGGCTGAACATACCCTTTAAGATGGTACAATAGTTGATATACTAGCTGTCCAAAAGGTCATAAATTTGGTACTAAAATTCCATTCAATCAACATATTTTGTTAATCAAGTTTGTGTTTTGTCAGAACTTATGTATGTATGCATACTGATCTTTAAAGATCGATTCTGTTTGTGTGTTATTTTTACTAACAAATTATTATTTAAAAATGTTGGTTGTTCTGCTATTAAAAAAATAAAAATAAAATGGCAGGATGTATTTTATGAGTCCATTGATCTGACCTCTCATCTGAATTCTTTAAAGAAAGCTCAAACCTGTGAAGTTAGCATAGGAAGAGTAACCATAGCAATCAATATTATCTGTATCCTCCACGAGTTTCCTTCTTCCTCTTATTGCCATGAACAGTTCTTCCCATTTAGAAGTAAAAAGCTTAACATTACTTTTTTATGCACGCTTGCTGATGTTGTTCACATGATTTTGAAACAGATCTGTTCCAAAAATGGGCTTTTGGATATGTTCATCTTTCTTTCACCAATACCACATTTGTGTTCCCTTTCTCATTATTATGATGCAAAGAGAAAGTATTGACGCAGCCAACTCTTCAGTCTCCAAACTGAAAAGCTCTTATGATTTTGGCAAAAGCTTTCTTGGACTGGACAAATGTAATGCTTGCATTGGGACTTCTGCCTGTAAGAAATTATTTAAAGAAGAAATAAGGTTAGAAGCCTAATATCTCTCTCTCTCTCTCTCTCTCTCTCTCTCTCTCTCTCTCTCCCAACACACACCGATGAAGGCGCTAAAAACCCTGCTTATATATATATATATATATATATATCCATACCTAGATATCCAAATGTGTAATCTATATTCCTCATCTAGTTTAGTTATTTGTTTTCCTTTCCTTTTCTTTCATTTCACTATGTTTTGTTCAAGAGATCTATCAGTGTAATCTATAATATATGTCTACATTTGCAATTTACACTGTCTAACTATCTATCTATCTATCTTTTTAATTTCTTTTTTCATTCACTGTATCTTAGGATAGGACTATAATCAGTTTCCAATCAGCAATTTATTTTTTCTTTTTAATTACTGTATATTTTATTTCTAGAGGTATATACAAACTTGTCAGTTGTCTAATGTAAAATAATAAATCTAGAATTATGTTTCCATGTATTTACAGATTGGGTAGTTTACCAATGGCGCTAGGAATAATAGTTAATACATGTGTAATACCCTTTAGGTATCTATCTATCTGTCTATCTATCTATCTATCTAACTATCTATCTATCTATCTATCTATCTATCTATCTATCTATCTATCTATCTATCTATCTATCTATCTATCTATCTATCTATCTATCTATCTATTTATCTATGTCACACTGAATTTAGATTATACCTAAAGTAGAACTCCATCTGTAGACCTAATTTAACTACTTATTTTTATGTTCATGCATACTGCTATAATCTTCAATATCAATATTAGTATGTTTAGAACATTGTTGTTCATGTATATTGGCAGATTACTGTTACTTGTGGTTGGTAAGAGTCTATTGAATGCTTCACTATTTTATAAAAACGCAATCCTATTATATGTCAGCTGTCATCACCACCAGCATATGTTGCTTGTACATCTATGTATGGGCAGAGGAATAAGTGGGAACTGCTATGATATAGTGCAACAAAATCAAGAATAAAATACATGGTTTGTTTGAAGAATATCTATACTAAAAACAAAATCTTTAAGCACTGTTTAAGCATCCTTTAAAGAAATATTCTTACTGGAGAAAATAATATGTAATCTAATAGCAAAGCTTTTTTGATCTCTAAATATGACCTACTTTTTCCTCAATAGCTAAAGCCAAGAGGATCACTAATATGCAGAATAACCAGACACCCTGCATAATTTTGTTTCTTTACCAGCCATGCTGTAAGATAATTTAAAGTTAGACACCCCTACACCATGTATGCCCTCTCCAATAATTGCATCTTCATGGCTGACACATCAAAGCTAAACTCTAGGCAGATATAAAAGACACAAATTAATTCAGTGCTGGATTAATTCATACTCGTACATTATTAAATGTATTGTTTTTATTGTAAGTGCAGTTCATGCCTGAATTTGACCCGGTGTCACCCTCTTGCAGTCCCAGTACAGCAGGGCTCAGTCTGAGAGAGGGAGAAGCAGCATGAGAAGCCAGTCTTGCTGCATTGCCAAGGAACACGCTGATAGGAGGAGAGATACGGTTATTGAGATGAGAGTAACAGAGAGATACGGTTATTAGTCTAGGGGGAGGGACAAGACCTGCAAGTGTTACATAACTGCAGCAGTGAAAAAGTAGGTCTCCTGCCAGACAGAGCTGTTCTGTGTGAAAAAGCTGTTTAAATCTTAGGACTGGATGGACAGAAATACAAATCCTAATCTTTGAATTTTTAACGTGTGTATGGCTGTTTGTGGCATGGGGACCCTAAAAGAGGAAATGTTTTACACACAAACTATCTTTTTTAAATTCTATTGGTGTTATCAGTTTAGATGTAGATCTTCGCAATAAGGTAGAAGCACCAAGACTGTAGTCTTCCAGCATGTGAAGTTTAGACAGGCCCTGCTCCACCTTATTTTGCCTCTCCCCTCCCCTCCAATAATAGGTTTTAATCCCCTTTGCTGCCTTTAGGCTGTTCATACACTAGTAGATTTTACGAACAAAAGATCTTTCTTTACCACCCGATAATGCCATCAGACACTTGACGAATGTCACTATGGTTGAAATCGTTCATCGATTTTACCCCATCAACTTATAGAAAGTCAAACGAAAGATCTTTCCATGGAAAGTTTGTTCGTAAATCTACTAGTGTATTTCCAGCTTTACTTTCTGTAACTGCGGAGGTCCCTATCGGAATGAGCTGTCAAATCATCCTTCATAGCATAACTATTTAGAAAAGCTGCTGTAGATGGGTCCAGAGCAAAATGGCAATTCTCCATGTATCCTTAAAGCATGGTCATGTGATTCTGACTAAGGGGAAGGGGCACAAGGGGAAGTGCTTGGCCCTTGCACTTGGCAGCAGTGGTGTAACAATAACCATGGCAGCCCACACGGCTGCTATGGGTCTGGGGTAGGAGGGGGGCCCATTAGGGGGCTTATTAGGAAAACTAAACTGTGATGTTTCCAGTATAGAAGGGCTGAAGTCAGACCTCAGAAGCGTCTAGTCACAGGTCCCGCTCTGTGCAGTAAGAAGCATTTTCTTATCTATCATAGCAGTGTAGAGTTATAGTCCTCTGAAATTATTCTACAGACTGAAATGAACCCTGTATACCTAATGCAGTCACAAATCCCAGAGTTCCAGCTCTACCTTATTGGAGGGCTGAGGTTTGTGGTTCTAAAAAAGTTTAATGAAGCTAGAGTTTAAAGAAGTTTGTATTAGGGTTGAAGAGTAAGTGTGTGCAAGAGCATTATCATAATATAAAATATCATTATGGTTATTATTTAATCAGTGCTACTATAAGCTCCATAGTAGTGTACAGTAATGACAATGCTCCTTAATAGTGTACTGACAATGCTGAAAGCTCTTCTGCTGCTTGTCCTTGATACATACATTATTTTAAGATCAATGACACATATTGACACATTTGACACTGCCAGCCACTACAGAAAGAGTTAGCCACCGAGGGTCCGAAAATTTTGTTATGGGGTCCCATGATTTGTGGTTATGGCCCTGCTTGGCAGATTTGTGGAGGCCAGAATCTGGTGTAGCTGGAGCTCAGTCACTGCAGAAACTACTAGAGTAGTTCTAAAGAGTGCTTATTGGAATTTTTTTTTTTAAATAACCTATTTTAAGTTTTTGTTTCATTTACGTATGCAGAGATTTTATCAATAAGTACCATAAAAAACAAACTCAAATTGCACCAGCTTCTGTACTAATTGCTGCCATTTGCAAAGTGTTTTAAGCCCCTGACCTTTTTGTATAGTTAAATCCAAATATGAAATCTATTTCTAGTGTGTAATGTAAGCTAATTTATTTTGAGATACTGTAATCTTGTCCTTTGAACAAGCTTTTCTAGGTATCTATAAGTCATCTCCCCTGTGATTTCACATAAATGGTTCTGAAACTTCCTACAAAGTAGGCTTACAATTTGTTATAATTGCTAATCTATGGTGGTATACTTTACAATTTACATTTTATTCAACTCTCAAATTACATGTGTAAAGCTATATTATAAAACAAAATGTGTTTCAAAAGTCTTAAAATATAAAGACAGAATGTTAATCCTCTCAAAACAGATTACATAATAATCTATTGCATGTTCTTTTTAAATCATTTTCCAGCCAGTTGATTTTATTATTATTACATTATAATTTTTTTCCACTCTAAATCTAACTATATACAGCTGATTGTTAAGGATATCAGTTGTTATGAAAAAATTGCCACTGTTAGTTACTGATCATGTACATAGCATGGAAAAGTTATTTGCAAAAGGGAAAAAAAGTATTTCTCTCAATGTTTCACTTTTTTTAATTTTTATTAAAAAACAAGCACAATGAATGTGTAACAATAACTCCCGTAGCCCCGCTGGTAAATTTTGGATTTGCCTATCTGTTCTGGGTTTGCTAGACCTGTTTCAAGATCCAACAGCACTGACAACTTCTGGCAAATTATCAGGCTAGAACCCCTAGGGTCTTTTTACAATTTATTGCTGAATTCAAAACTCAAGAGAGACGATTTAAGGATTCAGGATACCAAAAACACATAATAGTGAAGGACAGATTATTCCAAAATGGTAGCAGCAACAGGTCTTATGAGAGTGAAAAAAAATAGAGATAAAGGGCAACCAAATTAATTTTTGGCCCTATAAAAGCACTTGCAGTCTTCCACAGGCACCATCTGGCTTATATTCCCTTTGTAAAATAATTGGATCTGTGGACAATGAATCCTTCTTACAATATACAGATGGCAACTTCCACAAAGCTCCTCAGCAACACTCATCAGTAGTGATGAGCTTGGGCTTGGGGCAAACCTAGTTCTCCTGAGTTCGCCCAGGCCCTCTCAATACTATGACCGACACACACCCCTTACCCCAACCCCCCTACAGTTTTTATGCAGAACTGTGTCATTCCAGCCCCTGATATGGATGAACCTGTGTTTGTCTCTGATTACAGAAAATTACAGGGGAAGAAAAGACTCAAATCATATTTTACCTTGCCTCAGGTCCAGGCGGTCTCCCCTTTTGAGGTTTATAGACAAAGCCTAGACACTATTGTGCTCACTCTAGAGTCAGCATAGACATTTAACAGTGGGAAACTCACACAACCTATGTATGAGGCTACTCATATATACCGATTGAGAACCAATTCCAATTCCTTAGCCAACATCAGGACTCCCCAGGTGCTGGTCCAATAGGTGCGTCTCCACCTTAGAATGCAGCAGTATTCGAGCAGACCGCACTATCCAGAGAATTCCAATACTGCAGACTTTATTAAAATTCACCACAAATCCAGTATATCAGTAAATAAAAGTGTAGAAAGCAACAAATGCCAGCACTGCACACCCCCAACCAACTACAACCTCTACAACCTCGAGGTTGTAGTTGGTTGGGGGTGTGCAGTCATGATTCGGACCCCTTAACATCTGACATCCATACTATAGAAGACATTTGTTGAATACTCTGAAAATCAACTTGCAGAAATCAGTTCTTATGCTTATATCCCCCACATCCCCAA